TTTACTATTATAGATACTCCACGTGTTTTGAAAAATTTCAATTTTCAACCGCACAAGGTTATTCCAGATTTTCAGCCCGAGATTGAGACCTATTTTTGGCCTAGTAAACATTCGAATTGGAAAATATCTATTTCTGGTAAAGTTGTATCACTTTGAGTTATCTTTACAACTCAATTTGAATCACCTAAATCGGATATTAGGAGAGAAAATTATGATAAAAATACTAAAAGAAGTGCAGTACTGAAATTTTGCCGAAAGGTGGCGCCTATTCTATCTTCTGGCACCATAGGAGGAGCCACTTGGATTTATATAGGGTGCGTTTTTGACTCATTTTGAAGCCCATGAAACCTTGCATTCGATAAAAGCGTGGGGAGGAGTATACATATAAGTTTTTGACAATTTTGAAGGAGTTCCACACAATTTGTGGGAGAGAAAAACACATATTCAACAAAATCAAAGAGCAAAAGCTAGAGTTCGAAGACTTTTGAGGTTGAAAAAGATTCTTGGTGTAAGATCAAATTCTTTCAATGATCAAGATTTCAAAACTTGATTATGAACTCTATACTTTTTGTTTTTCTTTCGTTATTATAAATACCTAAATTCATAATTAGGGTGAATGTAATATATGTGTGACCCTTTATTTCTTTTATTCAAGATTCCAGTTTTTTAATGCATATGTGTTGATTTTATTTATGAATTTAATGTTTTGAATTATTTGGCCAATTATTCAATAATTTTGTGAATCTATTACGAGTCGAGAGGTGAGTTTTAGATTTAGACCATATAGTAAAATTCGGTAATTTAGTATAACGTGTATAGATACCTATAATAATTATTACGGTCATTAGATGAATTCTTAGAACTAATACTTCATTTAATTAAGATTGATTCATATAAAGATATGTAATTGAATTAGTTAAATAGATTTAATGAGAATTTGAAAAATGTAAATTGAATACTTTAGAAAAATTCGACCGAACACTACAATAGTAATGAATCTTGATTGACGAATTAAAGGGGATCCATAGATAAAATTGTAAGTCCTAACATCCACATTCGTACTTTTAAAATTCAAATTCGATAAATTGTGTACGTTAGATTAATTTAGTTTAGTTAGAGTAAGTTAGACATCAATCACAAAATTATTATTTGTTTTCGATCAAAGTAAAGTTAGGAATAATTTAATCAATTTTAGATAGTAGTCATCGTGGAAACGATATCCGGATTTATTGGTTCACTATATTACTTGTTACGTTCCGTACACTTGCAAGATATAAAAATTGACAACATATATACATTCGGCTTATGGTTTCTATAATGGTAGTTATATTGACATCACAATTTTTATTTATTACATCACATTTTAATTGCAATTAAACTTCTCAATCTTTGCTCGTTGTTACAATTATATTCTTAATTTTTTATTCTAATTCTTATCTTCAACTTTCATTAATTAGTACATGTCATCCTTGATGACGATTTATGTTAAAATATTTTATTTTCATGCTTTGATACGAGAGAAAAATATTTTTTTTCTTACTTTTTATCTATTATTATTTTTAAATTATGATGGCAAAATAAATTGTTATAAGCTATTTCAACGGACTTTTTGAACACAGTCTGTTATCAAATACAAAATATGTTAACTAATGGAAAGTTTGAGGATAAGAATACCATGAAAAATCATTAGGGGCATAAATACTATAATGAGTAAAGATTGAGAACCTAAAGTATAATTAAAATGTGGTGTAAGAAATAAAAATTGTGGTTTGAATATAATTAACCTTTCTGTAATACTCCGTCCCATAAAATATATTCGTTTGCATTTCACATAGATTAAGAAAACTTAATTAATATATGTTGTCACGATGGAACTATAAATTTTTCTTACATTTTTTTAATATACCCCTATATTGAATAATGATAATTCATATTTGTT